TAGTGACTCAATTAATTGCGTCAAATAATTGCGTCAATTGCGTCAAGGATCTACGAATTTCAGCAACATGTATAGAATATATCCTACCATCATTTTTAATAGTGTTTCGAACCTTATGTGATTTTGTTCGATTCTATTTGATTCCAATTTTTGGAACCATAGTTTTAACTATTAATACTTATTACTATTTTGATTGTCTTTTTGGGATAAGTAATTGTCAAAGTGGTTTATTACTGGATTGAAATAAAATCTTTTTAAAAACTTGTAGAAAAAAATATTATGTAACTATTATAAAAAAAAAATTACCAAATCATTTTACTGAAAATGAATATTATATATATTTTATAATTTTTAGCAATTATTGTAATACTTATTGAACTATTGTTGTGTTATAACTATATATGTGTTCATATTTAATTCAAATATTTTTTAAAAACTGTATTATGTTTATATTACTAAGTAATAATTAGTAAGTAATTAGAAATCATATTTAATTTGAAATTATATTATTGATTAAAATTTCTTTTATAATAATAAGAAAACATATATAGACCTGTGGATCTATAGCATAGTGGTTAATGCTCTATAGGTCAGATCACAAGATATTAGTTCAACTCTAAGTAAAAGCAATTGAATAGAATAAAATAGGTATCCAGCATCATAACCTGTCAAAGTATCATTTCTCAATACAAACCGATTTATATGCAGATCCCGTAGTAAGGATTCTAATGATTCTCAATGATTCTGTATTCGATTCTCAAGTTTATATTAAATTTAATAGGTGGGATATATCCTATCATCATTTTTAATAGTGTTTCAAATCTTATGTGATTCTGTTCGATTCTATTTGATTCCAATTTTCGGAATTATATCCTATAGGCAATAAGATTGTGACTATCAAGAAAAAGATATTGTAGTGTGATGATTATCCAGTTGATGATATGACGATTGCCAGAAGTAGCAAAAAGAAGTACAAGATTACTGGTTCCAATATGAAAAAAACAAAAAAGAATTGATGATTGTTTCCCTATGGGTATGAAAAGTGTCTTTTTATAAAGAGCCCCATTTCAATCCAGTAATACATTGGCTTGCTAGTTACTTATTCTGGAAAGGCAAGTCAAAAAAGCAAGAAGTTCTTGGCCATGTATAGGTAACTAAAATAAGAAGATGGTAATTACGAATAGAAATGAAATTAGTATCAAACAAAAAAATGAAATAGGTAATGCTTATATAAACAAGCAGGGTGACAGATTATATTCAGATAGTTTAGGCTTATGGGTAGGTTCTAGTTAATATGCGATTAATATAGTATAGATTTAGACATAGCACATATGTAATAAACTATCTATATTAATAAAATTAGAGTATTGTTTTGCTTTAGCAGTTTAAAAAAAAAATAAAAAAAAATAAAAAATAAGAAAACATATATAGTTATGATATCTTTTCTAGAAATTACAATTTGAACACTTGCCAAATTAGCATATAAAATAGCTTCTTATAAGAAATAACACTTTTAACAAACTGATATCTTGTAATTTGACTTGTAAAGCATTAATCACTGTGTTATAAATCTATAAGTATTAATATGTAAATTAATTTTATATAACAAATAATATTATTCCTTAAATCATAAGGCATTTTTTTTATAATGTTTAAAATTTTTTAACTAAAAAGTTGCTTTTCATTTATTTTTTTAAATAATCAAAATATTTTTCTAAAAATTTATATAATATTAGTTTTAATTATATATTATTTATTGATAGTATTTATTTTTTATTTATTTAATAAAATTTAAAGTTTAATTATCAATAATGTAATTTTTGAGTTTTTATAAAATTATTTAAAAAACCAATTTTTAAAAATTTGAAATGTATTAAAAAAGATTATTTTTGAAAAATTCAAATGATTTAAGAAGTTTAAATCAAAATTGTTATTTATGTTAACAAAAATTTTTTTAAAAAATAATATTAAGTTTATTAAGTTTAAAAGTAAAACACTATAAGGATTAAAAAGACATTTAACCTATATTATCTAATGCTTTAATAAAGAATGATTTTAAAAAATCATATATTTCGCTTAATACTGTATGAATTGCTAATCTTTAACAAACGCGAATTACGTATCTGCATATTTATGAAAAAAAAATTGTAGTAGTCATAAGAAAGTGTCACGTGATCAAATCTTTATAATGCATAAATTAATTTTTTTCACCTCAACACGTTCGATTCTGAAAATTTGTCGTCAAAATTTTGCTCATCATGGATCAAACTGTATATGAAACACTCACAAGCGTTCTTTCATTGGATTCTAATACACGGATGTCGGCTGAACTACGACTGAAAGAGCTTGAAAAGATGCCCGGTTAGTCTTAAAACGATCTATGAACACGTGAATTTACGCGTATTATTGTTTTCAATGGATATTTAATCTTTGATCTAATTATAACAAATATAGAATACCCAATTAGCCTTGCAAAAATGTTCATTTCGCCAGAAGTCGAAATTTCTCTTCGTCAAATATCCTTTTGACGACTTGCATAAGTACGAATAATAATAATAATAATAAATTCCTTAATGAACGAAGTCATCTTTCATCCTACTTGGCAGGCATCAATTTAAAAAATTATACAATTTCTCATTGGTCCTCCGCTAGTGAGAAATTCTCGGGATCAGAATTAAACGAGGAGGTTTGTAAAAAAATTTCTCCGGAAAATATGCTGCCAATTTTTAGTTGATTTTAAAATCAATTTAGGCAAAAGTTACTATACGCGAAATTGCATTCAATGGGTTGTCAGATCCTTCAAGTAAAATCCGTGTTACGGCGGTATTGTATATAATTCAAGCATCTTAATATAATCACACTTTATGATAATGGCTCTAACATTGTTTAATTAGGCATATATTGTTTCAAAGATTGCACACTACGATTGGCCTGAAGGTTGGCCTAACCTCTTAGACCTATTAATATCACTTTTAAAATCTGGTTCGCCGGACCCAATTCATGGAGCAATTAGGGTCATGTCTGGTATCTAACATTTTTGATGATACAGCAAAATATTATCTCCTAATTGACATGTTAACTGAGCTATTTATTTAACTTATTTACTAGAGTTTGTCAAATATGATATTACAGAACAACAATTTGTTCAGGTTGCACCATTGTTATTGCCGGAACTTTCGAGAATTTTACAATGTGAAAAAGTGAGTGACAATTATTTATTTATCATATCAATCACATACTTTATAACTTACTACTGATTTTTTTTTAAAGATTTACTCTTATCGGACACGTGGGCGGGCAATTGCCATATTTCGACAATGCATCGAAATATTGTATATGATTAAAGAAGAACACTCTGAAGCTACTGAATCATTTTTAACAACACCAATTATTCCGGAATGGTTGCAAATATTTGTAAATATTTTGAAACAACGGACTACAGACAACGAAGAACGGGAGTATGAAGAATACGGACTGAAGTTAGAGATTGTTAAGGTTGTTATAATTGTCACTGTGTTATATAGATTATTTAATTAATAACCATTATTATATTATACAGTGTCTCAACAACATTATTAAATGGTTTCCAAAAATATTATCTTCATCGTTAATTTCACTGTTAGAACCTATATGGACAGATCTTGTTCGTCAACGTGAAAGATATCCTAATAATGATTACTGTTTTGTCAATACTATTCAATTCAAATTATTATTCTTTAATTCTATCATCATTTTCGGGTTTTTCCAATACTTTTATTAATAAGTTTGTTCATCCGTCTGGTGATGCTGTCAGTACTTATCAAGATTCTGATGGAGAGGTTTTTGGTTTTGAAAATTTACTTTTTGCGCAATTCGAATTTGTGGGTCTTTCTGTTCGAAAGAAAGCAGCCAAACCCCTCTTTATTCAGAATAATGGGGAGGGTACATTCATAAAACAAATTATCTGGATCATCCTTTCATATATGCAAATGACCGAAGAACAGGTCGGTAGACAATATTAATATAACCTTTTTATTTATTTATTAAAGCTGACGGTTCAGTTATTAGGTTGAATTATGGTTATCGGATGCAAATCAATTCGCTGCCGATGATGATGATGAAACTTTCAATTTTAGTGTCAGAGTGGCATCAGGAGATCTTTTAACCGTAAGAAACGTATTATGCTTAAATAGAATTTACATAACTTTCAGAATTGTATCTAAGTTACAATCATATTTTCAAAAGGTTCTAATTGACCAATTTCCTGAGCAAACGTTGCAAGCTTTAGCAGATTCAACGTTACATTTCATAGAAGAATCCAATAAGGCACGATCTTCAGGAGACCAAATTTGGTAAAAGAATATTACTTTTGCAATTAAAGGGAACTTGTGCTATCGTCATTAGTAATTTTTTCACTATGGGCGATTTTGTGATTATTTATAGGTGGAAAATTCAAGAGGCATGCCTAAAGGCCATTGGATTTGTCTCCAGCGAGCTCACTGCCGCACTACAAGATTCTAATTCTAAAGTTAATTTTGATCTCTCGGGGTTATTCGAACACGTTGTTTTTGGCCATTTGGCTGCTACAGGTTAGATAAATGTGATCTACATGCCTCTCATTCAAACGGATTTTATCTTACATTTCAACGTTGACCTTGCAGATCTACCTTTCCTTCAGGGGCGTGCTTTGGTGGTCTTTAGCCAATATGCTTCCTTATTACCTAGTGAACTAATATCTCGTTATGTTTCTGCAACAGTTGATGCAATTCAACGTGACGGAACCATACCTGTCAAAATATCAGCTTTACGTGCTTTACAAAAGTAATTATTATCAAAATGCATCATCCATTATGTTGCTTCTGTGTACGAATGATAATACGATATATACTGCTTTCAGTTTCTGTCGACACTTGGATAATCAATATGTGTCACCCTTTCAATCCAATATTATTGAAGGTGTTGCAAACCTTCTAAATGTTACATCTGGAGACTCACTCATATTAGTATTGGAAACACTCCATGAAGCCATTAAAGTAAGTTGATCGCATAGTAAAAAAATCGGTCCATGCATCATCATCTGGTTAACTTTGCTAATTAACATAATTAGATAAGTAATGAAGTAACTGCGCGCTATGAACACCTCATAGGTCCACTCATTATTGACGTCTGGACTAAGTATCCTACTGGTTAGTTTTTGAATGTATCGTTTAGCTAATTTATATATTTGTATTAGGTTAATAGTATATCTTATCGTCTCTACTTAGATCATACCATTGCACCTATTGTCACCGATCTTTTTGAAACATTGGCAAGTAATCTGGACGCTTACGCTGCATTTCAGGCCAGAACTTTGCCTCCTTTAGCAAATATGTTGTTAAGTAATACGGATCCCGCGGTGACAGCGGTAATGCTTAAATATTTTTTTAATGTGCTAGTAAATTTTATATTTATGAATAATAAATTTAATTTGACTGCGTGTATATTATTATAACATATTAGTCTGTGATAGATTTGATTTCAAGTCTTGTTAAGGGTGGGCCTTCGCCATTGCCCTCTCAATATGTCGAACATGTGTTTCCCTCGCTGATGCACTTGATGTTAACCACCGAAGATAGGGAAATTTTGCAGGTTTTTTTTTTTCTTAGAATATGTATTGAGATGGTTTAGCGTGGAGATTTCATTTTTATTTTTATACAACGTAGAATGGCGAGATTTGCTTAAAGTTTTTAGTTCAAAAAGATTGTGATCGAATTGCACAATGGTAAACGCTCTTATTACCTTCATTTTATCATCATAACCGCCGAATTAAGTTTTTATAAATTATTTGGTAGGACAAATGAAACAGGTACATCAGGTTTAGATCATGTAATCCAATTTATTGCGAAGGCGCTTCAACCAAACGAAGGCGAATCTGCTACTTTCCTTGGTGACCTTGTTATCAAACTCATTAAAAAGGTTTGTAAATTTTGTAAAAATGCAAATATATTAATTTACGTCTCTTTTAGTCACATGGTTTTGTTTTTATTTAATAAGGCAGGTGACAAACTTCTTCCAGTTCTTCCGGATTTACTTAAAGCTGTTGCAACTAAACTGGAAGGCGCACGGACTGCTACTTTCATACAGGTGAGTGACGCAGATTTTTCAAATTTGTATTTGATGAACTTAAGGAAAATTTATAATTATTTAAAGATTAAATTTATTACAATTTACTTTAGTCATTGGTTTTGATATTCGCGCACGTGCTCATTAATCAACAATCGACGGTGATCGACTTTTTGGCCAATCTGAACATTAATGGTCGAAATGGCGTTGAAGTCTTGCTTAACACTTGGTTCGAAAATCACGATAGTTTTCACGGTTATTATAGTATAAGAGTAAGGTATGAAGCATGTTGAAACCTTAGGATGATTCATTTGTGGTCTTAAACCTGTTATCACTTAACCTCTGTAGTGCTATCGCGCTCTCTAAACTCTTTCTATTATGCGATCCGCGGATAGAAAACCTTCAAGTAAAAGGAGATTTGATCGTAACACGATCTTCGAGTACGTAAGGAACCTGGTTTTTTTTTATGTAGCTTATCTGGATATTGATGTTTGTAACTATGGACCTATTTTTTGGAATATACAATTGTCATTTTAAATCTATATTAATTAGGAATAATGACGCGCTCAAGATCTCGTCAAAGTATGTAGCTTAGAAGTTATGTGTTCTAATGTGCGTTCATTTTTAATTCAATATAACCTTTTCTAGGTCCAAATCAGTATACTTATGTCTCTGCGAATACTAAGATTATTAAATTACTCCTGTCGGATCTTCAAAACTCACCGGATGGTGATAACCCAAGGCGTTCAGAATTAGATGAACTTCTTGAAGAAGAAGAGGCTATTGAAACCGAAGATGAGGTTGAGTATTGTTTATGGTCAAAGTTACTTTTTTTATTTCTTTGTATCTTCCCTCCCATGCCCAATTGTTTAAATCCAATAGGATGATGAATGGGAAGATGTCGAAGAACCATCACCATTTGCGCCCTCGGAGGATTACATTATCCTTTCTGGTAAGTCCTCGTCTAAAACAATGTAATTTTAGGTTTATTTTTACGTATTAAAGGTTTCATATACTACAGAATACGCAAACAAACAGCGAGACTTGGAAGTTCTAGAGGATGAATCGGACGTAACGGATGACCCTATTTACAACACTAACCTCAAGGTGAGTGGACTAGCAGAGCTGTAAATGCGTTAATTAATTATCAAATATTAACTAATTTCAACCAAAATCTCATTTTAGGAATATGTGATGGAATTCTTTCGACATTGTGCAGCCCAAAACATTAATAATTTTGCACAGATTTGTTCCAATCTCAATCAAGAAGAACAACATAAATTGCAATATATAATTAACGGTAGACAAATATGATTTAAAATTGCTGTTTTCTTTACATTATATCAATACAAATATTATTGATTTATTCATCATTTTCTTCATCTAAATTAATACTTGCATCATTTTGAACATCGAGAGAAGTGTAAAGGTGAACTACTTCTTTCTCAGCAACGAATAATTTCTCAGTGACAATATATAAAATCAGTGTAAACAAGGATAATAACGTCGTAGCTTGGAACATTTTTATAGGGCCAAACTTGGAATAGATAAAACCTCCAATAATGGAACCAATCCCGTATGCCAAACCGTTAAACACACCAGAAAAAATACCGAGTGATGTCGCCCGAAGTGACTTTGGAGCAAAATTATAAGTAATTTCAACTCCAGCGGGCCATACCAACGCAAATAAGATACCCTGTAACTTTAAACGAGATATATCATGAGAAAATGAAGGCGCCAATAAATAAAATATAATAATAGAATGTTACCATCTACCATTTCTATGGGTAAAGCCATCCATGGGTTTAAACTCGTTCCGAGGAATCCATATAGGCCCAATCTGACGATCAAAGCAAGTTGACCGACAATTAACATACTTTTTGGGCCCATTAGTGCCATTATGTGTTTGGAAAAATAAAAAAACACGACTTCCAATGAAACGCCCATCATTGAACTTAGACCCAATAGGGTTCCACTAGCTTTGAAATATTCTGGTGAAAAATAAATAAATTGAATATTGAAGGATTAAAATCGATCTCTGAAATGAACATCCTGTCAGACCTGAGAGATATAAAAAAAGATAGGTTGCCGCCACTGCCTTTGCCACAGCGATTGACAGTACGATGAATAGGAAAAACATAAATCGAGGATTCCTAAGAAGCTCGAACGTAATGGTGGATAAATATGAATTATTCTTTGGTAATGATATGCCATCATCAGATGCCATGTCTTTTAAGGCAATGACTGTATCATTTCGGCACATTTCAAAATCGATTGGGTTGATGTAGTATATGCATATAGCAAATGCGCTCATAGAGCACATGTAGCCGACAAATATGATATAAATGGAAGTGCGATCTATCAAGTATCCCATAACAGAAGCAATGATTCCACAGGATATCGTGCCCCACAGACGCTGCAAAATATTGATATAGACCGAAAATATTTTGTTTGGTGATGAATTGACCATAAAAAGAAACATATAAACTTAATTAATAACTGACCTGTTTACCATACTCTATCTGTTCTCCTGATTTCTTCAGCGTACCTGGATATCCAAAGTAGATGTAGAACGTTCTTCACTCAAAAAAAAAACAAAAAACTTAACATAACCCAAGAACTCTTTGAACACTACCTAAAGTAAAGTTATCTACTAATGGTGATATTCCACCACTAAACAAAGAAATAATAGGATAATAGATAATTAAACCCGCAAATCCATATATTCTTCCAAACGTCGGAATAGCGATCAAGAACATTGTCGTGCAGGATATGCATGATAAAAGTATTATGCGGTGCGTATTATACTTGTCAGCAAGTGACTGTATCGTAGAGAGAAATTAATATCTTCGGAGTCTCCTTTGATTTAACAAGTAGCAGATTAGAGATCTTGGGATTTCAATTAATTGTTACAGACAGTCCAAAGCCCGGAGCTAAAGAACTCAACGAAAGGTGTCACCGAAAATAAAAGTCCAATTTCCGTCTTGGTAAGAAGTAAGTTTTTGGATAAGAAAATAGACATGTAAGTTCCCGCTGAACAGAGCGCTGCGAGAAAAAATACATATAAAAGCTTAAGTCTCAGTTTAGAAGTCATACGAGAAGAGCTAAGTTGAAACATCTATTAGAAAGTGAAACCAACTCACATTACCAATTTTGGCAGTGATTGGATAAAGTGTAATTCGAAAATAAGTGGTAGCAAAATACCAGTTATTGTCGGGGGAAAGAAAATAAGTAAATTTAACAAGGATGGGCTCCGTGTATTTAACTAAAAATTATATAAATGGGAATTTATAATACTTTTTATTGTAGTGACAATTTGAAAAAGTCCCAGATCTCACCCTCTAAAAAATTTACAAACATCAGGAACACAACTGACTCAAAAAATGCATAATTCGTACAACAAAATTCGTTTAACTAAACAGACAACCATTCGGTCCCGTAAAAACTCCCGATTCCAACTAATTTTTACCAAATCCAAACAATATCATATATATATAAAAAATTAACTTCATTTTGTTCAAAAAAAGAAATATAATATGGAAGGAGGCAACGTCCGAGTTGTATCTTGCAAAAAGAAAATTGTAATAGTTCGCCAATTTAGATTTCCTAGACCCGCCTCCAACTAACTAGGTGGACATTAATCAGTTCGCTGTTTCTTCTTTGTAGGCCCCTGTAATTCGTCTAGTTCCACTCTGAGTCGATTATTCTCACTTTTGAGCATATCCACTTGCGTCTGTAGCTCCTGAATAGCTTGATCAGTCAACAGCTTCTCCAATGTCCATTTTTCGATATTAGCAGCTTCATTCTCCTTGAGCTGTTGAATATATTGAACTGCTCGATTGAGAATACTTCCTTTATTTTTTTCACATCCAGGCACAATTTTGGCCAACTCGTTAATCCCAGCGTTGATCGTGTCACGACGACGACGTTCAACCTCTTTGTGATTTTCACGACGTTGTCGATGCCATTCTTCACTTCCCACAGGCGGTTTTCCACTTGGTGTCGTCTGAGGTGTTGTCGTCGCAGACATTGAGTGAGTTCGCATGGGGGTATGTTGTTGAGACTGTGGAGATTGTTGTTGGAGACCATGTTGAGGGGTAAGCGGTGCTGGTTGAATAGGTAAAGGAGTAGGATGGATCGAAACCGGATCGTTTTTTGGGTTAACACCAGAAAGTTGCACTGGAATGATGTTGGTTTGACCACCTGAACTATAGTCGCAATAGATAAGTAAAGATAGAATTACAATTTAGCTGTAGAGCACTATCTTTCAAAAAATGAGTCGATACCTTTGTTGGATCGAAGTCATAGCTACAACTTTCGGCTGTGTCTGTGCAGAGGTTGTCACAGGAACGGTGGTGATTGGTGTATTTGTAGCTGCAGCCGAAGAAGTAGGTGTCTGTGTGGTAGTTGGCGTTGAAGTGGTTGTAGTAACTTGCGCTTCATCCGTTTTCAAAGTGATATTTGACGGGTTTGACGGGTTCTCTTTGAAGGAGCCCTGTATTTGCAAATGACAAGTACGATAAATAGCTTAAAATTTGTTCAGTATTGAAGAGTCTATTGAATACTCATATATGAGGTCTGTTTAATACGTAGAGCATTCCATTTCACAATTATCAAAGTATGCCCCGTTAATTGTTCGACAAAGAAGAGAGAATAAATAACGAAACAATTGGTATACCATTGGCAAAAGTGTTGCAGTTTCTTCTGTAGACATTTTTAATATTTTTAGGCTAAAGCTATTTCTCTGAACGTTATAAAGAAAAACCACAACGCGAGTAGACGGTGCACTCTGTACGTCTCACGGTCTCAAGGGTCTAAGTCAGGTGAACTGTGAAAACGGTCACGGTTTTTTTTTATATATTGATGTTCCTTCCTGAGATTTGAGAAGGAGGTTGGGAAAAGGAACAAGTAAAATGACTGGATATCCAGTGACTATCTTGTGATCATCCTGTCCTGTGACATACAGATGACGTGAGATGCATGATTCAGTACATTGTCATACATTTCGGAGCACCACAGCAGTTGATTTTCAGGTGACGATAGCTGATAATTCCATAGATGGTTCCAGGTTACATAACACAAACTCAAGTTGGTATTGTAATCCCGTTATTGTGATCAGATGATCCTCGCTTATTTCTTACTTGTCTGTCATATGATTTTTTCCAAGTAAAGACGAAGTCAGGAGTAAGTTGACAAGTTGTGACTTATTGAAATAAAGCTTTTTATTTTTACCAAATAAAATAATTATAATTAAACCAGTATATTATATACAGTATATAATTTATTAAATTTATAAATATAAATACAATTTTAAAATATATTAATCTTTTATAAATAAACATATGATTAATAACTGTTTGGATTTAAAAATACAATTTTAAAATAAAAATATTATTTGTTAAAAAAAATATTTTTAAATTAAATTTAAAATTTTATTTAAAATTTTATTTTTTTTTATAATTAAACAAATATTTATAAGTTTTATTTAATCTTAATATAGAATATATAGTAGTTTAATAACTTTTATATATAAATTTTTTAAATATAATATTTAAATATCCATTTTAAATAAAATTATTTCTAAATATAATCTTAAAAATAAATAAAATTGCTTATTCTTATATATTTGCTTTGAAATATATTTTAAAATTATTGTTTATAATTTATTATTACAGTTTATCTTTTTAAAATCTTAATTATATTTTATATTTCTAATTATTTTTTTCTTTTTTTAATCTTGTTTTTTTTTTTTTTAGTTGAATAGCATTAGATGCAAGTCTTTATTGATACTTAAACATATCTGTACAATCCATCAAACATCTTCTGTAACTGTTACACT